TGTTCCTGGACGTTGAAGTGATTCGTTCTAATGGGACGCTCAAAAAGAAATTGTTCAGAAAAAAGACGTATGTTGGGAGAATACTCAATTTCCGGTCCCATCACAGTTACAGGCTGAAGATGGGAATAATGAGCAGCATGATTATCCGAAGCCTACGCTTAACGGATGTAGAATTCTGGGACGAGGAGCTGGACAAATTGACGGGAATATTCCTCGCCAACGGCTACCCCAGTGAAGTAATACAAAAAAATCTTCCTATTTGATCCATATTCCATTGCTCCAATTTATTTCCACTAATTTGTTCCTTTATAATTTCTAACAATATATCCATCTACGTTAGCCCATAATTCAGGCTGGACTGTGGGGCGACAGAGGCTGGCAAAAAGTCAGGAAGGTGTCTTGACTTTTTTCAATCTGGGAGATGAGCCAGAAACGATGGCGATAAAGACAGCTCTACGGTGGAGAACCTGGATGGTTAGGGCTTAATTTAGAAAGGGCAAGAGTTATGCTTCCGAGTTGACAGGTTGAAGAACTATCGAACTATGGTCCTACACTCACTAGCACTCACCTTATCCTCGTTGAGCAGAAAAGCGGCGGTGTACGGCGTGAATACGGCCGTGTAGAGCACCAACAAGAGGATGACCCAATCCCAGACTGCCTTGAAGGGTGAATAGTGCAAAACGATGAATTGCGGCAGTCCGTGACGTATGACGGAGGCTGCCGTATTCGTGGCCGGCGTGTGCGTGGTCTGCTTCGATGGGAGACATTTGGTGTCTGAAGTTTCGGTAATCTTGCTCTGATACGTGACGACCGGCATCATCGCAAAGGCCGCCATAGTGACCACAGGACTGGAGGGTCGACCGACGGCGGTATCATGGTCTGTCAGACCGGTTGTCACGGCGGCAATGAATCGACTAGGGACAGTAGTCGCAGGAAGTGGTATATTGGCGGGTGGGCCTAAAGGTGTTGGGGTCGTCAGGAGGCCGTTGGGGCTGGTGCCTTTGCCCTGGACGCTCTGGTTCCGATGCGATAGACCATTCTCAACCCCAACACTGGCCGGGGCAGTCACGGTGAAGCCTTTGAGCGGAGGCTGAGAGCTCAGGCTGCTCGTGACCAGGCTCGGAAGTGAAGGGTCGCCTGAACTGGCGATGGCGGGCGGGACAGATATAGCGTCTACAGTTGTTGTTGGTGCCATTTTTGAAATGGTCGTCGAGATGGTCGTGGTTGTGTAGATGCCGCCCACTGTTCTGGCGACGGCGGAGGCCGTGGCAACGGAAGCTGTCTGGCGTGGGGCAGACAGTGCGTTGGGGAAGAGAGAGAGGCTTGCCAGGGAAGAGCTGATGCGCCGTGATTCCGTCGACTTCTCTTTCCTGTGTAGTGTAAGGTATCAAAGAGCCAAGCATAAAGGTCAGCGAGAGAGTAAAGGTATGAAGGGGTACCACTTGACTAGCTCCCATTCTTATCGCCTATCCACATGCAGATCATGCGGTCTGTCTGCAATGGGGGAGGAGATGAATGTAGAATATTCTCCTTAATGAAATTGACACCAGCGAGCTGTCGTTATTTTGACATGAGGTGGCCTGCTTTAAAAAGATCAGTTTGGAAGTGTTCAACACTACAAATGACCTTGTTATATAACTTTTAATATTTACATTTAGTCTATAGACGAGCTACCAAGTTGAGTATCCAGTGGATGGGGGAGATCAAGTTGGAGCAGTGAACATTGTTCGACTGGTAAAATGTGTGATGGGATGGGGCATGTTTGTATCCGATTCCGGCGAAATAGGCTTGTTGCTCCTGCTCACGCCTGGTCGAACGTGTGATGCTAGGCTCCTGTCCGAATGCCCATAACCATGTGGCTCTATTCGAAATGGATGGTACAAATCCGGGCCAGACCCTTAAAATGAGACACTGGGTTAAAAAGGCTCGCTCCAGTCATGCATAGAATAGGCGAAAGGGTTTGGGGAAAGTGTTAAAGCAACACTATGATGTGAATTGAATAGGACCATTAGGGCTAACTCACTGTCACATGGAAAAGGATCAAATATATACGTAATTCATCTAATTGTCTGGTGCACTTGTGAACTGCCATTTATAAGCCTGTCTAAGCAACAATGTCCATATTAAACTTGTACGCCTCGAATAAAAGAGAGAAAAAAAAATCAAAAAAGACAAATGAAACGGAAAAATATTATCATAATAGAATGGGAAAAAAAAGATTTGCTATAAGCAAATCAAGGGACAAAATAAAATATCTTAAAATGATTAAAATTTTATTTATAGATTAGTTTAAAAAAATGGAAAATAAATTTGCATTAGGCAATGAAAGATAATTGAAACTGGATTTTATCAAGCTTATTCAGTAGGAAATTAAAAAAACTAATTGCTACATTGATCATGATATAAATGGCATGATAGGGCCTATGCGAGGTCAAAACTGCAGTCAACCGGTGCTTGGGTGAATACATCTCATTACACTGATTTACTGGTAGTCTCGAAACCCTACTTTAATATGATTTAAAGTCAGCCTCATGGTG